TATTTGCTTGTCGCACAAAACTATCAAGAAATAGACGGTTCTCGGCAAACACCCATTGATTAACTCCCCAGAATGTGTGAAGGATTATTTATTTCAAATGGCAGGCTTTATGACACTTATCATTGGCCCCTTAGCTGACTTCGGGCTTCATAGAAGGGAGGAGGAACATCACAACGAGAAGAATTCGGAAGGGAGAACAGAAAAGTAATTCAAAGATGTTAAAGAGACAGATAAACAGACACAAAGGCAGAGAAAAGGTAGGATTAGTACGGTGGAAGTGATAGAAATGACATACAGTGGGGTCATGGCAATTTGAAGTCAGAACTCAACTGCCGGTTTATAGACTTTTTTGCCGTATAAGTATACGTTGTTCAGGGTGCTCCACGTGGAGGTAAGTCTATTGCACCCCGTATGTGTGTTGGTTAAATGAGATGTTCACATGGAATTGACTCCAGGATACTTCTTTTCAAGGCAAATCGAATATTGTTGCCCCTATCCCACCCCCCTCTCCTCCCCTTGATGGCTTTGCCAAATTATGGTAATATACCGAATAAGCGCCAACGGGCTAAAAGTTAAAATATATTTCTCTACTTGGGAGTGATTTTTGACTCTCGCCATACGGAATGAGTCATTCCGAATGCACAATACGCCCTCTATAGGCACTTATTCGGGTGGTGTTTATTTGGTTTCATGAAATGGAATTTAGCGTTTTAATGACTTATGTTCACCAGTTATTCGATTATCATGTGGATACTTTTTTATTGCCAGAATACCTAGGAAAAATAGCAACAAAAGAAACAAGCACTTTAGAATGCTGAAATAAGGGCTAATGATAAATATCATAAAGCCTGCCATTAGAAATAAATAAATAAATAAATAGAATGCTGAAATACGAAGTTCATATCTGTGAGATTCTTGGATTTACTTTCTTTCTGCATACCTTGGATTAGACGTATTTTAGCATCTTGTGACATATAGTTATAGAGTGCACCTGATCTTTCGATCCTATTCATAGATCTGATGACTGTTTAATGCATCAATTCAAACAAATTTACTCCTATCGCTCAAAAATAAAGTTTCATTATATACAATATTATATATATACATCAAATGGCAGGCATTTTGACAATTATCATTAGCTCCTCAGCTGACTTCGGGCTCCACAGAGAGGAGAGGGAACATCAAAGTGAGAAAAATTCGAGAGGGGGAGCAGAAGTGAGATTCACAGATGTAAAAGAGACAGACAGACACAAAGATAGTGAAAAAGGTGAGGTGAGTACTGTGGAAGTGGTAGAATATGACATACGGTGGGGCCATTGTAGTTTGAAGTGAGAAGTCAACTGCCGGTTTATATACTTTTATGCCGTATGAGTATACGCTGCCCATGGTGCACCACATGGAGGTGAGTCTTATCGCACACCCCATAAATATATACAATAGCTATAGATTTATCTCCACGTGGTGCACCCTGGACAACGATAACTCAAATGGCAAAAATGTCTATAAACCGGCGGTTGACTTCGGACTTCAAACCGCCATGATCCAATTGTAAGTCAAATTCGACCACCTTGCCCCTTTCTCTACCTTTGTGTATGCCTCTTTTACATTTGTGAATCACTCTTCTTTTTGTGACTTTGATGTTCCTCTCCCAACCCCCCCCCCTGTGAAGCCCGAAGCCAACTAATGGGCTATTGATAACTATCATATTGCTTGAATTTGATAAAAATAACTTAATAAATATTAGCTAAAATACATACTTTTCTGGGTTCTAATCAAGATATCGCATGGTTTAATTTTAAATCATTGTCATGTTCCCTAAAGAACTGATATTTATTTGTTGTTTCCTGAATTTTGAAAGGAAATTACATTGTTTCATTACTTCGGAAGGCGTCATCCTATATGTGATTACATTCAAATACAAATGCCGAGTAATAGACTTTTTGCCGTATGAATATACTTTGTCCAGGATGCCCCACGTGGAGGTAAGTCCATCACGCACCCGAAGAAGTCAGCAACACCGGGTATTTCCAGCCTGTCGCCCATGCAAGTTCTAACCCGGCCCGACGCAGTTTAACTTCGGTGATCGGACGAGAACCGGTGTTTTCTACGTGGTATGGTCGCTGACATTCAAACACCGGGGATGGGAGGACTGTAAAAGATAGGAAAGCAAAATCCAGGTTATCGGGAGGGCATTTTCAAACCCTTCATCTCTTTATCGACTTTTCAATCTATCTCCCCATAAGTTCCACAATATTTCCATCTTCAATCTTTTTTACCACTCTGCACACGATGGAAATATTATCAGTAAAGTTTATGGTAACGCGTCTGTTCATTACATATTCGTGTGCCAATTATACCTGGCACAGATCCTCTCTACACACAAAAACCTTCTTTGTAAAATATATTTGCTGATATTCGAAACGACTATAACATTTCTGAGATGACTCATAGCCCAGTTACCATTTAATTTGGAGATAAAATTTATGACAAAATTCCGAATACTTGTGTTTTTCTTACCTTACATTTGAGAAATACTGGTTAAAATTTTCACATTATTTGTAAAAGCTTTGAGAAGTTTGTCAGTCGGATTAGCAATATGCCTAGAAATTCTTAAGCACATTTGGGTTTTATCAATCAGGGTGCTGCATCTAACATTTCACATAAGCATTGTGCCAAGTGAATCAGCTTTTAAGGTTGTAGTAACTCTAGGGGATTAAAAGTAATACTTGCTAAAAGACCTTAGAAACTATTAGTGCATAGGTGATATATAAAATTAGTGCACAGAAGAAGATGTGACTTAGATTATCTGCAAAGGCTGAAGTATCAATGGTCTTTCGGCAGCTTTTGTTAAAAATTAAAGAAAACAAGGTTTTGGGTAGAAGTAGGAAATGGTCAGAGATGAAATATATTAAAAAGGATAAGAAGAAGCATGTTGTCCAGGACAAATATTCGTCGAACCCCTTGGAACTGGAGGTGACTGTGTCAATAGTAAAGAATGAAAAATAGAGTCTTAATTCCCAATCCTTGAATTAGCATAAAAAATTGCTCAAAGATGTTTGGTAGTGATAATATTTATTTACTTCTTTATTTATATCAAATGGTAGGCTTTTTGATGGTTATCATTAGCCCTTTAATTGACTTCGGGCTTCACAGAGAGGAAGAAACATCAAAATGAAAAAAAGTCGAACCGGGGGGGGGGTGGAACAAAAGGGTGTTTCAAAAACGAAGGAAGAAAAGGCAGAGAGAAGGTGAGATGAGTACTGTGTAATATGACATACAGTGGGGTGATGGTAGTTTGAAGTGAGAAGTCAACCGCCGGTTAATAGACTTTTTTGCCGTATGAGTATACGTTGCCCAGGGTGCACCACATGGAGGTAAGTCTATAGGGCACCTCGTGGTAACATTATATAAGGTTAAGCCAACGCCAAAAGAGATAGGATTGAGGATAAATTACTTTTGGCATAGACTAGACATCACTGGTATGCTCTTATGTGGCAATTCAGACAATTGTTTGGCTGCTCTGGGGTAGCAAAGTAAATTCATTTATTAAGAAAGAAGAATTTTCAAAATGGTTGGGATATGCATGGATTAATTAGCTGTCTGTTAAATCCCCAAAAAGTTTATGGCTAGGTTGCCGTACCAGAGTATGGAGGGGAGGGGGGGGGGGAACTGGTATTTTTGTAACAAGGTCAAATTGGATTAAGCAGGGTTTAAGGCTTTGAAAACCCAACTTTTAAAATAGCACTTCTCAATAAGCCACGTTGACAAAAGTACGACTGTGTTTGATCTAAGTGGTTCGATGATATTATTAACAATTTTTTTCAACAGCATCTAGCTGGTAACAGTCGAACTTACAAAATTTTGCCATTAATTGAATCATCTCACTTAAATAATTAGTTAATTCATTTTACCATTTATTCAAGAGGTTTATTAAAGAAAACATATTTCACCGGCTTCTTTGACGTGGGGACGCGAATGCTAAAACCTAGAATGTTGGGCAGACACAAATTTAATAAAATGCTGATAGTTTATAAATTCTAACAAAATAAATTGTCTGGTCTCCTATTTTTCTCCTGAGTCTGAGTAATTGCAAGCATCTTTGAAGGAAGATTCAAACGACACTTTACAAACAAATGGATTCTTGTATTTTTCATCACCTTAGCTTGAACCCCGTTGGTAACAGATAAAGACAGACGCTCTGGCTCCAACAAGTCTACAAGATTGTGCGGTTTCAGAGCTCCTGTTTGAAAAGTGATTATCGGCTATTGGATATGATGTCAATCTAAATCAATTGGACTTAGCAGAATAAGTTAAATTTTTGAAATATCAATACGTTCTGTGCATATTATCATGATAATCCGTGACAAGACAAAAGCGCTACCATTTTTCATGACAGTAATCGAGTAACTATAATCCAAGTGGAGGGAAGCTTTAAAAAGTGGCGAGAGAAAGCTTATCGTATCAGAAGAACCCCATTTCCGTCCACATTTTTGTATTTCATGATTCGAATTTCTTCGTTACTGGTCTGTTCCGGTGTTTTTACCTACCGATTGGCTATTGTAATGGTACATTCTATGCTCTATCAAGCTTCCTTGATTTTAGCATATTCTGTTTATTTTTTGGATAAACATGTCTAACAAGAGTATTTTTTGAGCAAAGTGCTACCAACTGGTGTGTGTGTGTGTGTGTGCTTAAAGTGAACTGTGATAAAAGTTGACAATTTAACTCTACAACTTTTAAACAAGGTAAATAAGAGAAGAGAAAAAAAACAAGTAATGAAATGCATTGATGCCCCATGTTTACGTCACTCATCGTCAGAAAGCAATCGCTTACTTTGGTGCAAGGTGCTATTGAGCACTTTGTGCAGCGCGCTCCCGCCTATACTCAGCACCTGAGTAAAAGCAGGTGACTTCTCTCTCTCTCTCATTTTGCGCGTTTTGCGTGACAAAAAGTTTACTCAAGCATTATTTCCCTTGCCACGTTAGAAGTCATACCTAATTATGCTGAATCTTCAATACGCCGATTCTTCGTCAGGAGGGAAGTTTTCTTTCCAAGAGGAGCCCCTCTACCCATATTCCACCGCAGATAGTCGAGATCGAGGAATGGTGACATACACTTATGAGGACCATAAGCTATATGAAGATGGAAAACCGGTGAAAGCAACCATCCACTGTTCAGAAATGACTCCGGAGATGGAAAGCTGGGCAATTGATTGTGCTGCTATTGCCCTCCTCAATAAAGCCTCCATCAAGCATGCTGCCTCCTACATTAAGAAAGAATTCGACAAAGAATTTGGCCCATCGTGGCAATGCGTTGTTGGTAACAATTTTGGAAGGTAAGCAATTTGAAAATCCCCCTATTTATTATCCAAAACCTGCTCAAATTTATCTCGTGTTTTTTGTCAGACATGCTCTTTTCAACACTGATCAATACTAATAGGCTAAGGTTTACCCTTCCCTATTATTACTATATTAAAAGACACAAGATTGGCACAAATAATTTAAAATACACACTGCAAAAGTAGAATTTATTTTAGAGGAAAATTGAATTATAAATCATTAACGAGTTTCATACTTCGTAATCATTAAGATAAATTACTCTCCATATCTGATCCACTTAGAAGTAAAATCAATAATATGGTTACGTTTTGAATGGAAACTTGTGTGAAGCAGAAATTTGAGAATTTTTCAACTAATGTTTTAAGATTTTATTGATTTATCTATTATTTACAATATTTATCCTCATTAAAGCGATGTGCAAACGTTCAATTTTGGGGAGTAATTGAGACTAGTCAACACCAACTCCAATATTTGAGAGTAAAGTAAATGAACCAAATAGCTTTATTTTAGTTAGTTTCTAAATTTCGGCTGTACGTAACATACTTAAAGCGAAGTTCATAATTAAAAATATCATTTTCGTCGAGTAGCAATCGATCGATGGCGGTCTGTTGGGCTTCTTCTATCCACTATTTCTTTCAAATTAGATTTACGCAGTCTAAGATAGAACACCTTACTTGATCCTCAGAAGACGAAGCTGGGGCAGGTACATTTTTCTTCTCTTAATTAGTAAGAGCTTTCGGATTTAGACCAATATTTTTTGAATTGCTTCAATTCCTCAGTGTTTACTCACTTTAGCATGGGATTCAAGTGCCTACAGACTTAGCGATCGATCAATATTTAACTTTATTGACTGGCAAGTATGCGCTTAACATGATATATTGCAAAGACTGCTAGCTCTATCGTATTTTGTTTTATGATTTAAAATGCGCGTCTTGAAGCTACGGGAGACACAAATTTAATTAAAATAATATTTTGACGTTTTTCTGTGCTGCTTTGGAATTACTAATCTAGCGGCTGTCTCCAGCGATGAACAGGGCTATTATTTTGATCATAATTTATGATCGATTTTATTTAGCTGCGGGTGTTCGAATTCCATTACTAGATTGGAATAAAACTTTCAATTTGAAAAGTCGTTCTAGCATTTCATTTTTAATTTGTTGGGGACATTCTAGTTCTATTTTCTTCATTGTTAGCATACATTTTACTTAACACACCATTAAAGTGCAAATATGCAATTATAAATCCAAAATTAAAATTCTTTTCTGAATTACTATACAAAGAAGGAAATAAGTATTAGCTTTAAATTAATTTGGATAATTAACTCCTTGGATAATAATTTAAATGAACTTAACATTTCAACTTTCTTAATGCAAATGCATTTTCCACAATCTATTTAAAAATGAACTATGAGTAGGCATTGGCAACTACCTAGGTTCAAGAAGCTGCAAAAAATCGCGTTTTAAAGAGTGTCGCTACGTGGTGTCTTGAATTTTTGGCTATCTGACAATGAGGGCGTGCTGGTGACCTTAATCATCAGTATGAGGCCATTCAGGAATTTTTAGAAAGTTCTCTCTTCATTTTCTCGATTTTCATTTAAGCTAGATGTGCACTGGTTCTAAGACTAATTGTATGCATTGAAGTTTCCCAAGGTTATTCACGTGGATTTGAGAGGTGTTTTTCGGTACAGTAGAGTACATTGGAATGTTCATCTAAAAAGTCCCCGCGTAGAAAAGGGCATTTTGCACTCTGATTACCAATGAAACCTCAAAACAATGTGGTGAATCATTCAATGACATATTTAACCTCTTTGACAAATTACTTCGCAACAAGATATCCACTTGTGGTAAACTTGTTTAAAGCGTGATTTATGCTGAATGAATTTGGTGAAATCCTCAAAAAATGATAAAATTGTTAGTTGGAAAGATTTTATTAAGTGCTTCACTATAAATGGCCTCATTCAATTACACACCAGGAGAAACAGATAAACCAATAATTATAATATTTGGTGGAAAGTTAGTTATTACAAACCTCAACACTTTAAAACCTACCTGAGATATTCAAAATGAACGAAACGGAGAGAAAATGAATTTCGGAGAACATGTGATACCATTGTTATCATTTTGTAACCAGAGTAGTAAATGGTTTAATAGTAGTGACGAAGTAACTTCAAGTGGCAGAGAGTCAATACAAATGCAAGCAAGTCTACGTTTATTGAAAATGAATTCAGATTTACAAATAAGAAGAAAAAAAAACAATAAAAAGGAGGGTAAATAATAGCGTTAATGTTAGTGGAAAATCAATCACAATTTGCTTAACTATAATGATAATAAACATCCTAATCTTAATAGGAATATCAAATGAGCAAAAATCAGAAGAGCATTTCACAGTACTTGAAATCGGTAATTAAACATCGCTAAAATCCGAGTGTGTTTATATGGTAGGTTATCTCCAGGATATTCTAAAATTCACTTACACTTATCACAGAAAAAGTGAATTCCCTATCAGCACTGACTCCATAAACAATGTAAAAAAATTCACTTAAAAATTAGCTTTAATTTAATCTATAAAACTGTTCTCATAAATTGTACATTAATATTAACGTTTGTTTGCAGATTTGGAAAGAATGATACGATTGGGATAAATGGGTGCTTAGCTACAGTTGCGATGTTATTGGTTGATCTAGAGTAGGGGAATTTTGGTCAAGGGGACGGTGAAATTTTGTTTTATCGCGGATAAATTCAGAAAAAAATTGTTCCTTTGGTTCTTAAAGATCTTTGGATGAGACTCACGTTGAATATAATGCCAAGATTGGGTTTTAAATTCGGATGTTTGACTTTTCAATCAACCCCGTCTTTTTCAAGAATTTTCGTAACCGAAATTTGAAATCCAGAAGCCCGTTTAGATATTTAATAGTCAATGTGAGAAATGTATAACGGCGTAAAATTGGATAATACATGAGTAGGACTATGTTCAGTGAACATTTGCAAGTATTAATTAGTTTCGCACTTTGTTGCCCCCATTCCAATTCCCTTGAGGTGGGGTAAGACAATTTTGCATTTTGGCGATTGGTCATGGAAAAGGTATATCTGGTAACTTGAAGCCAGTGGGACATCGGACATTGCGCTCATTTTTCATGACGACAGCATCGAATTAATACTCTTCGGTGCACAACCAGGGTGTCTTTATTCTACCCTAGCCATATGTATTAACACTTACTTTGGCTCACTGGGAAGCTTATAAATACTTACATACCTGCTTCGAAGCCGAATAGATGCAGCAATTTGAGGGTGTCAGTAGTGGAAGACTCCAGAATCACTATTTTATATGGCATTGGAGAACTCTAGGTTACTTCATAGTACGGCATGTTTCGTTAACGGATTCGCCAATCAAGGGGCCATTTGCACACATGCAATACTTTCGAACTTTTGAATGACTCATACCACCACATCGTCACACCGCCGTACCTCACCCAAAGCTAATTTCCTTTGATTACTTTCTTAGTAATGATAATTGCCCCTTAATACTTACATGATGGCAGAGTGGATAATTTAAAATCCTTATAATTGGGGTTTTAGTCCAAGAGATTTTAATTTAAACTTTACCTAGCTTTTTTTTGTAAGATTGTATTGTTTTTAAAGAAGCATATATTTCTCCATTTCAGCTATGTGTCCCATTTCGAGGGCTCCTTCATCTACTTCATTCTAAAGGATTACACAGTACTTCTTTTCCAAATATAATTTCAACTAATCTCAAGCATGTCCTCACTTTCTACGACGAAGAATTTGAATTTCTCAATATTTTTATTGGACAATCACGCATGGGACTGACACCCTCTCCCCGTTCTCCCCCCCCCATGGCCTCTTTTCGACGCATCATTTTTCCCACCACTTTCGAAATTTTGCCGAATTCTTTCAAAAAAAAGATTTCTGAACATAAATCAATTTCTTCCAAGTAATATCTTATAGAGTTATGGGCTAAGCTGTGCTAATATCGAAAAATCGATGAGAAAAAGGATTTTTGGACAAGTTACCCTCCAGGGGAAATAGCTTGAGGATCTGAAATAAAATGTTTTAAATAGCTCTTAAAAGTCAAGGGGAACTGAGACTGTGTGCCTGGTATAAAAGTTAGCGCACACAACTGTGCGAAAATAGGAAAAAACGTTAATAGAAGCAAGAAAAGGGTTTAGCTACTTTGAAATAGTTAGCCTCACTGAGAGGAGTCTTCTCTCAAACCCTTCCACGTAAATTAACTACTCTAGTTAGACATCTAGAGTCTGGTACTATAACTACTGAAGAGGCACAAGGTATGTAGAAAACGCGGAACGACGCTTTAAGGGAGTTTCCTGGCATGGGTGCACAAACAGGCGCGTGAGGACACACGATCGCACGTCTAGTCCGAACACGCACCAATCAGAGATTGGAGAGGTTAATTGCATCGACCACCATTTAGTGGGACAGACACACCATAGGGTGTGAATGGACGGTTTTGTGTGACAGGGTAAGCGCGCGGCATGTTCAGAATTTGAATTCGTGTGTTCCTTGCGTGTGCTTTGTGTGAAGTCCGCTTGGATTAACTTTATTGATTGACCGAGATTAATTATTGGTATTTATCAACAGAAGAAGAAGCACTATGGCTGAACGTAAAGCTGTTGTCAAGAATGCTGATATGACTGAAGATATGCAGTCGGATGCCGTTTCAATCGCTGGACAGGCTCTGGAAAAATTCAACATTGAGAAGGATATCGCCGCCTACATCAAAAAGGAATTCGATAAGAAACATTCCCCCACATGGCATTGTATCGTGGGTCGAAATTTCGGAAGGTAACTCATTTTCCTCGATTTTAATTGTCAATTTAACATAACTTTATCGTTACGACTTCCTTTCCTTAGAAATAATGCTATCTAAATTCTAGATCATGTACGCTTTCTATGCCCTCTGTCCAATATCACCCAGTAACGCTATTGGGTTAATTTTTCTGCTTGTCTTTTTAAGACCGAAATTTTATGTCACGTCTGCATCTAGTTTTAGTCATCACTGACTTTAGACCGTAATATAAGTCTGCCATTTCCAAGATGTCCATATAGGTTATATTTTATTACTCGGTTCATTGGACCACAAGCGTGTCCGCTAGCTTTCCATTCTTACTCCCAAATAGGTTAATTCCAAAGTTATTTACAACTTCTAAAAACCGGGTTGTTTTTTGGTCTTTTGGAGGTGCGCGGACAGTTCGCAGGCAGCCATAATTTGTGGTGAGTCATGGGGGGGGGCTGTATTGTGATCCTTCGAACGTCATTGGGCTGCCTCTTAGTGTTCATTAATGCACCATACCAATTTATCAATTGACTTGGGTGTTTGTCCTAGTATTATGCTAATAAGCTGCTGCATTAAACGCTATCTCAGTCTCTGATTTCTGGTATTTACCCTTTTAGCTATGTGACCCACGAGACCAATCACTTCATCTACTTTTACTTGGGCCAGGTAGCGATCCTGCTCTTCAAGTCTGGTTGATTAATTCGTTACTTCGGTGATGGGAATGCTATCTCTCTCTCTGTCGACCGCTTTGAACCTGTGAATGTGCTTGAATATATATATCTGTGTGTAACAATGAAGGCTTCTTTTCCCCAGTGTATACCCCCCTACCCTTTGTCACGCGTGACATCAACGCAACAGCGTCATTCCCCTCTCTCTCTCTCTCCCCCTCCTGTGTAACTCCCTTTCCCCCTCACCCTTTGTGCACATTCACACATTGTTTTCGCTACTCCTTCCCTTGACAAAATATTCACATTTACACTTTTTCAAATGAAAATGAATATGACGCCAGGCTATGTCTTGTTCTTTCTTGTTGGTACAAGAGCATGGTCAAGTTGCTATAGCTTTGATATAGCACTTAAGAAGGTCGTCGCGTAGTCATTGTTTCTTACTGAGGTAGTTCCACTTAGTGGTGATAGGCGATCATTCGGAATCGTAGTTTGGAGCGGCTGTCTTGGCTTGGTTCTGTGTTGGGGGTCCTGTAGGTATTGACCTGGGGGTGTGTAGTGGTCGGAGAGCTTCTGCAATTTACCATGCTGAGAGAATGTGGAAGATAAACTAGTCTAGTTCCCTCCTGCTTACCACTCTAAAGGTCCCGTAACAAAGAGGCGAGGGTGGTTGTATTTTGACATGTAACGTAGAAATGCAACGTATTCTCATACGGCAAAAAAGTCTCTTAATCGACAGTTGACTTCAAACTACCATGGCCCCACTCTATGTCATATTCGACCCCTCAACGGTACTCACCTTACCTTTTTCTCCACCATTGTGCCTGTCTGTCGCTTTTACATCTGTAAATCACTCTTCTGTTCCCTCTCTCGACTTTTTTGACTTTGATGTTCCTTCTCCTCTCTGTGAAGCCCAAAGTCAATTAAAGGGCTAATGATAACCATCATAAAGTCTGTCATTTGATATAAATAAATATTTCGACATGTTCGCCACGTTTGGATTTGTCATGCGCATTTTCATGCAATACGTATCTATCGAGGGAGAATCATTGCTGCCGATTCAAATGCATTAGTCTTGCCGTCAACAAAGGTGCAGGAATGTTACTTTCTCTCTGGAGCAGCTCCAGAACAGCATCCCTCCATTCAAGTCAGATGAGCTAAAATGTTTTTCTACTGAGCTTGAAAGTTAGAAGGCAGGTCAGCATACTTCTTTCCAACGTACGAGCAATAATTAGCTAATGATAATAATTCATTGTCAGGAATAAATTTTGTTAAGAACACCGGAAATAGTCATATATACCATTAGATATGAGAAAGCTCAAAGCATAACGACTATTTCAAGGCGACACCTATCAATAAAAACCAGTCAACGCTGGTCGCTTTAAATCTAGGCGCATGATCTTTGCACTTTATCCTAACTTTATATTCCTTTTATTAATTTGCAATACTCTTTCTCACCTCTTCGTTGCAAATTTGAAAAAAAGGGTTATAATGTAGTGAAACCGCGTGGGTATTAATTATGCAAGCACCACGTTTCCATGTGTGTAACCATGACATCAATCACAGGCATGAATAACTTGTGGCAATTGTAGCATCTAGCAAGTGGAAAGTAACTAATTCTTATAATTATAAATAACCTCAGAACAATTAATTAGAAGTATTCAGGCGAAAAGAAACCTCCAATCAATTCTGTTTTAGAAGCAGGGAATAAGCAAAATATTTATTTATATTTATATCAAATGGCAGGCGTTGTGAAAGTTATCATTAGCCCTTTAGTTGACTTCAGGCTTCACAGAGGAGGAGGAGGAACATCAAAGTGAAATAAGTCGAGAGGGAGAGAGGGAAGAGAAGAGAGTTTCAAAGATGTAAAAGAGACAGACACAAAAGTGGAAAAAGGTGAGGCGAGTACTGTGAAGTAGTCGAATATGACATGCAATGGGGTGAGGGTAGTTTGAAGTCAGAAGTCAACTACCTGTCAATAGACTTTTTAGCCGTATGAGTATACGTTGCCCAGTGAAGAAACTTGTCGGAAATCATAAAAATGTTTACGGCTCATTTATTATTAATAATATTAAGTTGTCAGTTAAAAACTAAGCGGAATAAGAATAGAGCAAACTATTCAAAGAAAACATTCTGGCATTCACTGCTGGTTGAAGTTGGTAGATTGTGGCACTGGAAATTTAGATTACTTGCCTTGCAATATTCTATGGAATAACTTTTGATCGGAGCTTAATTTCGGAGGTTTTTCTCCACGAAGAAGGAAGCGCATCCATTTGAGTTTCAATAACAATTTTCAAATGAAATTTGGAATTCTCTTGCCAATAAAAAAGAACATGTTGATTGTGGACTTGTGAGATATTTATTCATTTCAAATGGCAGGCGTTTTGATAATTGTCATTAGCACTTTAGTTGACTTCGGGCTTCACAGAGGGGGGGAGGAACATCAAAGTGAGAAAATGTAGAGAGGGGGAATAGAAGAATGAACCACAGATGTAAAAACGAAAGACAGACACAAAGGTAGAGAAAATAGTAAGGTGAGTATTGTGGAAGTGGAAGTTAATAGACTTTTTTTGCCGTATGAGTATACGTTGCCCAGGGTGCACCACGTGGAGGTAAGTCTATCGCGCACCCCACTTTTGAGATAGAAGTAGAAATAGATAGCATAGAGGAAAGGTTGCTGAGACTCTAACTATCAACCTTTAACTCAACGTCAATTAGAATATCCCCACCTCCTCCCATGACACTGCCACTTTCGAGATCCAAAGAGCAGAAGTTTTGTCTTCCTAAATCAAAGTAAGTGAAGGAACTCCACCAAGATGAGATTGGACTGACACAGATGTAAGAGACAGGCAGACCCAAAAGTTCAGAAAGAGTAAGATGAGTACTGTGGTAGGGGGCGAATATGGTAGTTTGAGGTCAGAAGTCAACTGCCGGTTTATAGACTTTATTTTTGCCGTATGAGTATACATTACCCAGATTCTTTTGGATTGCTAAGTAATACCAAGTAATAATAATATCATTATCGAAAACAATAATTGGGTTAACGTAATATACTCTAATTAAATATAAGTACTGTGTACAGAAGAGTTATAAAGCACCAACTGTTACTTGAAGTAAAACAGATTGACATTAGCTTTATTTAAATTGTAAAGAAATCCATGTTTAAAGTTAGGACAAATCTTTTATATTGAACTTGGGTCATATGTCATCGAGTACTCCGATTGCTATTTATTACTCTGAGGTTAAATTTATTGCTATTCTGACTTTATAACCATTTTCAGTTGAGGAAATACTTTGAAAGCTTCTTATTACTTTTTTGCGTATGCAAGACTTATGGGACACGTTATCGCTGTGTGCGTCATCGTATGCCTGCATGTCTGCTCGCCAGGATTGGGAGGTGCGGCCGTACAACTCTGTGTGCAGCCACCGTACAAACAGTGACCAATCATCAACCTCTGTTTGTTTAACCTAATCCCCCATCCTGATCATGAGTAGCTCCATGCGTGTACACACTTGATCCGCAATACTCGTACTGAATAAACGTGCTCCGTGCTACACGTCTGTTTCCTTTATAGCCGGGCTATAGCTTAGCTGGTTCTGGGAGTCTAGCTAGATGTAGGAGGATCTGCCATAGAGATTTCTGAGTCAGTCAGGCTTTACTAAGGTAGCAATCCGCTACAGACTTTTTATATATTATAAGTTAGTATCAAATGAGTATTAAAATAAATCTCCTGAGAAACAAAGGAAATGTTGATTGTGCAGAAATCAAGCAAAAAATGTCATTTCCAGTCTCTAGAAGCGTAAATCCCCCCTCCCACCCCCCC